ATATAAAATGGATTTTTTTTATATATAAGATACATTATTCAAAACTAGAACAAGGTTACTCGTGGCTGGGTATCTAGCACTGATACTTTGTCGCTATAGCAAAAGTCAATAGCCATTTGAAAGAAGAAACAATTCAAAGCAAAATATCCCTCATTAACGGTTTACTTCCACATGAATCCCACTGCAGAATCTTAATGCATTTCTCAAATACCAGTGACAATGAACCCTAACCCGTCAAAAGCCACCTCAACTCTATGATGTGGAGGAAACTATGGCACGCATGCCGTTTCAACACCAATGACAAGATCCAAATGTAGCATAATCTGGGACATGGCCCATGGGGTCTACATACCTGTAAACTTTGCAACTGCATCAATGTGGTGTTTTACTTGTACAGCTAATTCTCTTGTGGGAGTAAGGACCAGTCCTAAAAGAGGTCTCTTCTTGTTGAAACCAACGGTACATGCCTTATCGCTAGAATTAAATTCAAAATTCTCAAACACCTTCGCAGAACCTGTTGTGAAAGATGTATCATCTTCATCTCCACTGTCTTCAACGTGCTGATGGTTTAGTTTTTCTGCTTCATCCTCATTTTCCCATCTTGTTTCATCATGATGCTGATGGGACTCTTCAGAAACACTGTCATTTCTGGCTGTTGAGCTATTTAATTTTTGCCACTGCAGCACAGAGTGAATCATTGGAATTGCAAACGCAAGCGTTTTGCCGCTTCCTAAAAAAACGAAGAATAATAATACAGACTGACACGCCATTTATTTGAAAAGATGAGAAAAACAACAGACAATCACATACTGTTCTTAAAACATACAGTTGTAACACACTCAAACTCTTGATGTTTAGAAGATGAGAAACTTGCAGCAACAGCATCTTCTCTCCTGTTCCCTTTATACATCTCTTTGAGGTCATCAGTAGCATACTTCCTGGGGAACAGGTATTTTTTCAATCTCTAGCATGTCGGGCAGATTCACTTGTTCTGAAACTTTTTTTTAAAAGCTGCAGTTGCAGCCAAGATATTTTTAAAGAGCTGTATGCCCTTAAGGAGAATACCATGCCCTAATTGACAGTTCTGATTATCTTCTCCAAATAAGGGAATAGGAAATGAGGCCAAGGACAAACTGGAATGCACGTGAAGGATTTGCTACCATCTTTAATTTACAGCACCACGTTTACAGCTTTCTAAGAAACTGTATTTTGAAGTACTTTACTGTCCAAATTCCTTATCCATCACCAGCTCACATTTTTGTAATCAAAAATCTGATTTAAAACATGTAATCCACTTTGGAGAGGAGGGGGCTGTTAAACACAAAAATGCTCCCCTGACTTTAATTTCAGGGGTTCACCACGTCAAAGTCTAAGTCACATCCCTGTCTGGTAGCACACCCACCCCAGTTAAGGTTCTCATAAATATCAGTTCATTGATCAAAAAAGCAGCCTCAGGAGCACAAGACAGTATTACACCATTCCTATAATAGGTGACTGCTGGGAAGCCATCCCCTGGCAATCTCATCTCAATTCCTCAAGCACCATTTGCCTGTAATGGTTTGCCAAATTCAGCAACGCAGAAGTTTACGTATTCAGTGCAGCACCTTAATAATATTAGTCAATAAACAGCCAAGCCCAGTATCATTATCCCAATCAACACTGCTGCAAAGTCTCCTCGTATCCACTTCCCCACCTTTATGTGTGCCTGGGATAGCTCTTACAACTTCTGCCCATGAAGCAGAAAACGTTTATAATCTGGATTTGCAAACGACTTATACAATAAAACTCTGTATTACCAGAATATCTGTTTTTAAGGTAAAGAACACTGCTGATCTAGAATTACATGTAATTCAACTTGGCTGATGCAAATGTCAATACCACACCCAGATAGATTATGGCTGTGATAATCAGGACTATTCTACAAGCACCAGATTCACCCACAAATTAAACAGATAATCACTTCACAGGGCATATTAACCTCACAACACACAAACGAAATACGATAGCCAGGCCTGCAAAACCAGGAGAAAAGTCTATCTTGGTACCATCAAATACTATACCTCAAGCTATTTCATGCTTTTTTAAATGGTTTTAGATTGTAAGATTTTAAACAGATAAAATTTGGTTCTTTAACCAAAACCTTTCCTACTTTTACATGGTAATAAATAGAACTGGTTAGATCCATTGCAAGGAAAAAAAAAAAAAAAAAGCATTGACATTTCCTGCATTTGATTTTCACTGCTACATCAAAACCTTACCCTTCTTCCCTGTGTTACTACCAAAAAGGGAAGACCAATAGCTCTGTTACCTTCTGCCCTCTGGCCCAATGCTAAGGGAAAAGCAGAACTGAGAGCTTATCTCTCCCAGCTGCAGCACCTCCTAACAGATATCATTACATCTTCAGTTTCTACAAAAACACTGGTGACCCACTGGGCTCTCTAGAGAGAAAACTGTCTTTCTCTTGTGAAAGAAAATAAATGAGCAAAACACAGTCCTATTACCTCAGGGTTATAAAAAATTAGCAACAACCTAAGTTGCCACAAACTGTGCTTTCCATTCTGCAGCTAGAGATGTATTTTACTTTCCAGCACTGCCAAAAGGGCACTTTTTTTGCAGCACAAAAACACAATTCGAATTTTCAGTTCCATTTCCAAAAACACTCCCTGTGGGGCTTTCTAATCTTATTAAAGTTAATAGCACCAGCCTAGCTTCTAATTAAAATAAAAATGCAAATGACTGCAGATCTTATTAGTTACTATACTTTCATGCTCAAGAGCAGTAAATGATTTTACAAGACAAGCAGTGAGATAAGGCAACTGGAACAGATGAAAAGAATGCAAAGGAAGTCTTTAAACCAAGGCAGCTTCCAACTGTGCTTCCTACTTTCAGTTTTTGGGGTAAAAATGTTGCACTGCTGAAGAACACGAAACATCAAAAGTATGAGCAGCAAAAACGTTAGGGGCAAAGTAATGCTCTGAGACTTCACAGCATTAAGTACATAAGGAGTTGTAACAAACTTCACAAAGACTATCAATGCTCAAAGACTGAGGCATGAGCAGATCAAAAGCTTGACTAGAGACAGTACCTCTGGGGCTACCCATGTAATACTCACTTGAAGCAGAAGCAGTGTGAAGGGCTAGTGGCAATACACACGCCAAGACCAGAGCCAGAGCACAGGGTGGGCCTGTTTTGCTACGACAAAGGCCTAGGCCATATCCACACCCAGCACTGTGCCTACAATTTGTTTACTGCTCCAAGTGAGTGCTGAATCATCTTCAGAGGAATCTAGTTCCCTGCTTTGCCTTGGCACACGGACATCCACCGAAGTTAAGCTGTCGGAAAAATGACAGTTTGTTTCATCAAAACAGGGAGGTTGGACTAGATGATCTCTAAGGTCACTTCCAGCCTAGGCCATTCTATGATTCTATGACTAATTCTGCCCTTTGCAGTGCTTACAGTTCCCCCCAAAAAGGAATAAAAATGAGAAACAACAGAAAAAGAGACTTCTGTCAAAAGCATAAAATCTCACTGAGACCTCAAAGCTTTGCACACTGTACCTTGTAAAGATGGAACATCCTGTGTTTAAGTTACAAAGCCTTAATAATTCAAAATGAATCATTATTACTATATTTGATGTGCAGAAACTACAAGTTCTTCTCCTACATATGAATGCTTCTTCTGCTACAGATATAAACTCATAACCTTGAGCTGTACCTAAAGAGAGGAGATGGGAAGCTCCCAGCATATACAGCCAGTTTAACAGATTTTTACCTGTTTCTGCAGCACCGAGAACATCCATATTATCCCGGATGGCAGAAGGCAAGGCTAAGGCTTGAATAGGAGTTGGAGCACTAAACCCCAGGTAGCTCAAGGCCCGCAACACTGGTTCAGGTACAAACAGATCTTTCCATGCCGACACGTCAGCTTTGTGATTCGCTGAGGCAGACAAAACTTCTGTCGTCCAGTTTTTAACTTTTTTAGAAGTAGGTACTGATGGAAGAGCTTCCTGAGCTTGAGAAGCCTTATTCTTCGCTATCTTCTTTTTCTTTGGAGCATCTTTTTTGCTTGAAGTGGTCTCAGCCACGTGTCCACGGTCCTTGCAATTTGCCTCTTTATCAACTGACACATCTATTTCTGCTGCACAAGGTTCATTGCTGGTATCCGTTTTGCTTCTTAAACCTTTAGTTTTCTTTTTCTTCTTGGGAGAGACAACAGGTGCTTGCTCCTCACTGTCTTCATCTGAGACACTATCAGCCTTTCTCTTCTTCTCTTTTACCTCCCCTAGTTTGGAAGAACTTACTAGTTTGTAATCTGTAAGCTCCTCCAAGCACACTATGTCACCAAAATCCTCATCAGCAAATAGACTTGGGTCGATCTCTACAGTTTTCCATTTTCCTGTTACTTTGATGCCTTTTTTTTTCAATTTAAAGGAAGATCTAAATCTTCCTCCTTTGTTGGTCTTCATTTTTACCTAAAAAGAAACCAGAGAGCAAAAAAAAGCAGGGCATGAGATCAAAAGAACGAGGATTACATTGATGATATCCAAGCATGCGGGACTGCAAAGAGTAATCTTTAAAAAAATATTATTAATGTGAATGGCCTTAAATATAACCACAGTAGGCCAACCCGACAGCCTCACTCCTAGAACAGCTCCGGGGATAAAAGAAGAATAACCGAACAAATCCCTGCAGG